CATGATCTTTGCCATATGACTTCCAGCAAGATGCACATCTGATAGAGCCACAACCACGTGGGATGTGTATAATCACTTTAATAACTTGTAAGAACTCTTTGACCAATAACTGAACTGGCTAATTACAAAGCATATTATAGGTTATAAATGCCACAAGGGCTGGCTAAATACACTTGATCTCTGTGAGGCAGAGAAAAACTGGTGAAGTTTCTGTGCTTTCCAGGAAACACTTTCATCTTTTTCATTCATGGAGGAAAATCTTATTGCAGCTCTGTACAGAAATGGGTGGGTTTTGGCTCCATGTCTCCTTGGTCTGAGCAAAATGCCTTTCTTTTGAAGTGAGCAGAGTGAGTTAATGTGTGTACATAGAGAAGAGCCCTTCAGGGTCTCTTTTGTGAGAGGAAGTGGGGAGGAGAATACCGTAGCTTTTTACTTCTTCAGATACAAACTAATGTGTCAGACCCCATTTCGGCTGTTGAATGGAGAGTATAAATGCTGGCACACTAAATCCCCTTGATCGCACAGTTGAGTGAGTTTTTAGTGAAGTGCTTGGAGAGGATCACGGAGTAAGACCTTCAGCAAATATTTGTGAAATACCACACTTTTGACCATATACCTCATTTTATATATCTGCAGGTACCTGTAAGCTCTTGCCAGTCTCCGTTATTCTGTTGTACTGTGTTTCTCACTTGCATAGCTTAGACCTAGAGCATAATTTCACATTCTTACGGGTGACTTTATACATTGGAGGGTGCCAGGCTAAACATGCATTTTGGTTCATTTCTTCATCCTTTACCTGAACATGCTTTATTTTTCAATATATAAAGCTATTAACAGCTAGGGACCAGTTTACTTAACTTGCAGGATCAGCTTACACCATATTTGCCTCACCGACAGCTTTAATCAGCAGAACTGGCACTGTTAAAGCTGCTACATAATATTTATACCACATTTATAATAAATTGGTATTTTAGTATGGCAGAACATAAACTCTGAAACTCTGGGCCTGTTGACACCAGGCAGGAGCCATTACTGTACTTTTCCCTGCACCTGCTTAGAACATTTTTGTTTGGTTGAGTCTATCCCAGACCCTCCAAGTGTCCCTATTTTCCAGGGACGTCCCTGATTTAGAGAAGCTGTCCCAGTTTCTGATTTGATCCCGGAATGTCCGGTTTTTCTTAGAATGTCCCCATTTTCATCGGAGAAATGTTGGAGGGTATGGAGTTATCCAGTCCCTGAGCCATCTGAAGGCAATCCAGTATAGGGAAAGGTTTTTTAAAAAATAGTGTTTTATGTTTTTATGATATTTTTATATATGTTCAAAGCTGCCCAGAGTGGCTGGGGCAACCCAGTAAGATGTGTGGGGTATAAGTAGTAAAATTAGCATTATGGAATAGGACATCTCTATTTTCATCGGAGAAATGTTGAAGGGTATGTGTATCCAGATAAATAGAAGTTACATGTGTTTTATTTCTTTTTAGCTGCTGCTGATTTTAATCATTTTCTGGATTATCATTTAAATATTTGTTTTTTAACTTCATCAAAAATTGTAATGTTTTATATTTTTGTAAACTGCTTCGATATTATTTTTTAACTATCAATATATATTTTGTTAAATGAACAAAATAAGAGAGGGATGAGGCAATCCAGATGAATCCCACCAACCCTCAAATGGGACTGGGGAAGATGGACGTTGTAGTCCGCAACTTGTGGAGGGCCACCGCTTCCCTATCCCTGTTGCAGTACTTGGCACACACAGCACAAACCTCTCTCTGCTGATAATCCTTGCTGGTAGATCAGGGTTATGGAGCATTTGGCCTTCCAGATGCTGTTTAACTAGAATTCCAATCGGCCTTGAGTACTGGCCATGCTGATTGGAACTGACGCAAGATGCCGTTCAGCACCATCTGGAGGGCCAAAGGTTCTCCACCTCTTGTGACAGATCATGGTTATCCAATGTGCTGCTCTCCAGATGTTGGATTCCAGCTCCCCTCCTCTTCAGGCAGTTTGGCTGGTGTCAGGGATGATGGAAGGCCAATATCTTTTTGTAGATAAATATCATTGTTTTGTGGCTTTTGCATCAGGTCACTTAATCATTGCATCATTAATGTGGCGGTGGAGGAGTTTGATCCATCAGCAATGCAATGTAAGCTGTTTACAGGAGACCAGCTGGACAAAGAGGACTTAAACAGTTTGGCATTTGTTTGCTTGGTTTCTCATTTCTCCAAACGGCCCTCACTCTTTCCTTAGGTTTACATGCAAGGTATTGCATGCATGCACATATACCACCAAACTGTTGTTTGTCCGATCCCCAGGTGTTCCATAAACTCCTCTTAAATGTTGGCATTTCCTTTGCTTTACGAAAGTTTTCCCAGACTGATATATCTATATTTAATGGTTTTAATTGAAAGGCGACCAGAGATTAATAGAACCCCATGCAGCAGTAGTAAAGCACAGGCTTTTCATGCATGCAGATGGTTCCAGATTCAGTTCCAAGCATTTCCAGTTAGAAGATCTCAGCTAGCATGACTTGGAAGCACCCCTCGGTAAGATATTGGAAGCCTGCTGACAATCGTGGACTAAGATCAGTGGCCTGATTATGGTATAAGCCTGCTTCCATAAATGCACATTGCCGCACAACTAATTTGGGCACTTAGCAATAATTCTGAGAATTAAGCTAATAATTCTGAGAATTATTAAGCTAATAATTCTGAGAATTATTAAGCTAATAATTCTGAGAATTATTAAGCTAATAATTCTGAAAACTAAGCTAATAATTCTGAGAATTAAGCTAAACGGCACAAGACGGAAAAATATTTTTTGGGATACGTGCATAAGACTTAAGCTGATAGACTCTGCTTTGTAGGCTACTCTAAAGATGGGTTTTGGGTAGCAAATGGTATCTTCCAAACAGGCCAGTAGCTGGAGTCCAGAGCAGATGGGAAACAATCACAGGAACATGGGAGGCTGCCTTTATACACCACTGGTCCATCTAGCTCAGTATTGTCCACACTGACTGGCAGCAGCTCTACAGACTTCCCAGCCCTTTCTGATGTTGCTGCAGACTGAACTGGCAACACAGGCACCAAAGGAGTTATTCTGCTGGGGGGTGGGGTGAAGGAATTAAGCACTGAAAGGGGGAGTATTTTAGTTTCTCACACATGCAAAAAAGAGAATACAGTGGCACCTCGGGTTAAGAACTTAATTTATTCTGAAGGTCCGTTCTTAACCTGAAACTGTTCTTAACCTGAAGCACCACTTTAGCTAATTGGGCCTCCCGCTGCTGCTGCGCCGCCGGAGCACAATTTCTGTTCTCATCCTGAAGCAAAGTTCTTAACCCAAGGTACTATTTCTGGGTTAGCGGAGTCTGTAACCTGAAGCGTCTGTAACCTGAGGTACCACTGTATTGCCTATGTATTTTGCTTTAAATTTCAGATTTTGCAAATGTAAGATACTTTAAAACAAAAAGGAAAGCTAGGAATCTGGAGATTATGGTTCTTCTAGTGGGAGGTGACAACTGCTACCTTGTGTCTTGCCCTACACCACCCCATGGGCACCCACAAGTTATACATGTAAAACATGTACTCTACTTCTGAGCTACAGCTCAGACAACCTGATTTAACATGGATTGGTGGTCAGGTGCTGGAGCAAACTGACAGGAAGACAGGTGTGGCACAAGGAGTCTTTTTAGGACTTTCAGTCATGAAAGAGTTTCTCAGAATGGGGAGCCAGGCCTAGAAAAAGTCATATAAGGCAACTGAAGAACCAACAGCAAGCCTCCTGGTCTGGCTAGGTTAGGCTGACAAAAACTATACTTCCATCTCTAGTTCTTACCCGGGGGCAGGGAGTGGCAGCAGTGCAGTAGAGATCAAGCTGGATGTTCTCTCTGCCTGAGAGCTGCCCCCGTGACACAGGGGTTTGGGTGCTACTGCCCTTGATGCCTCGCCCAAGACCTGCACCATATAAATATGGATAGCTGGGTCCTGATTTTTGGCAGGTTACAGGTGGTGCATTTTAAGAACATTGACAATCCAGAGCATGTCTTAAAAGAAGGTGATCAAGATGAGGATTGTTTAAAGAGCAAGCTGTGGGCTTTGCAGAGGCATCTACTTGGCCACTGTGTAAGAACAGGACAAGATGGGCCTGAGCCAGCAGCCAAGTTTTTCTTACTCTCTCTCTCTTTCACTCTCTCACCTGGAGAAGTGAATCTAAAGGGAGGGAGGCTAAATCCCCAAAATGCTGGTTGTCTTGTGCAGATAGGTAATAGCTGAAAAAAACCCTTTTTTTGCTGGAGAAACCAGCAGCGAACATCTTCCCCCCTCCCCCTGTGTCTTCCTCAGGTTTGTGCAGGTGAAGCCACTTCTTTATTTTTGCTTAGAGACACAATGGTTTGCATAGGCTGTGAGCCAGGGCATTTCCCGTGCTAGCCAGGTAGGCAATAGGTCACACCTTTTTAGCTTGGGTTTGGTGAAAGAGGAAGATTGTTCAAGCACGGAGAGAGTGGAGATGTAACAAGATGGTTTTGCTTGCCTGCTTTGTCTGATAATTAATTTCGTACAAAATGTTCTTTTTTGCAGGTTGAGTGCTCCCCCTCCCCTTATTTTTAATCCTCTCAAGGTTTGCAGGCTTAACTGTGCCGCCTCATGTGGGTAAATGGCATCAACATGTTATTCTAGCTGCAGGTGTTGTTGTAATAACAGCTTCTCTTGTTTTTTATAAAGCGTAGGAAGCCTTCAGGGAAATGAATTTCTCAAAATCCCCTAAAAGGTCAGGGTTATCTTGATTAATCAGGACCATCTAAAATTTCATGTGTCTTGGCAAAATACAAAAATTAGCCATCTTACCTGATGAGTTCTGAACATGGAAGAGGATGGTTATTCGGCTACTTGAAGATGGGGCTTAATTTTGGGAGGAAGAAAAGATTCAGAATCCCAGAATTGTAGAGTTGGAATGGGCGACAAGCATCATCTAATCCAACTCACTGCAATGCAAGAATATTTTGCCCAACGTGGGGATCAAACCTATGACCCCCAGATTAAGAGTCTCATGCTCTACCAAATGAGCTACCCTCAGATCAAATAAAGTACTTATTCACGGTGTGCATATTTTAACTACCGTATTTTTCGCTTTATAGGACGCACCCGACCATAGGATGCACCTGGTTTTAGAGGGGGAGAACAAGAAAAAAAATTTTCCCCCTCTCTGTGCAGCGCCCCTTCAGTGAAGGGTCAGGAGAAACGGAGCCTCTTCCATTTCTCCTCCCGCTTAGCTGAAGGGGCACCTACCCTTCAGCTAAAGGAACCCGAAGTCTCCGAAGCGCAGTGGGAGCGGTCCCGCTGTGCTCCAGAGGCTTCAGGCGGCTATCTTTGAAGCCTGGAGAGTGAGAGGGGTCTGTGCGCACCAACCCCTCTCGCTCTCCAGGCTTCAGCAAAAGCGACACAAAGCCTCCAGAGCGCGGCGGGACCGCTCCCACTGCACTTCGGAGGCTTCGCATTGCTATCGCTGAAGCCAAGGACCCTGTATTCGCTCCATAGGATGCACACACATTTCCCCTTAATTTCTGGAGGGAAAAATGTGCATCTTATGGAGCGAAAAATATGGTACATAACTCGCTTCCACAGGAGGCAGGGATGGCCACCAAGATAGGGGTCATTCCACATCAAATCAACGCAAAAAAACAAGGGTTTTTGTCACCCACTGTTCGGATTTTGATGAAACTTGGTGTACACCCTTTCCTTATCATTGAAAGAAACCCCCTTAGATTCCCCCCCCCTCTATCTCAAATGGTTTTAATTTTATAGCACTTCAAAGTTTCGTGAAATCTGTGTTTCTGTCCCTCTTGAGATCCTCGGCCTTGTGTGCATTTTATATTTTTTCTCCATAACCAATGATCAGATCTCTTTGCAATTTTACACAGAGCTCAATAACATGATGTGGATTTCAGGGAAAAATACTCAAAAGATTTTATAAATGCCTTAAAAAATGTATAGATGTAGTTTTTTTTGGTGGAAAAATGAGGTTTAGGAAACCTAAATTTTCAGCGTGAGGGCACGATGGAAACAAAAGTTTTTGATGGTGAAAATTATTGCAAAGACATGCTCTTTCTCAACAAAGAATAAAATTTATGGGTCTCTTTTGTCTTCTAACAAAATTTTACGTTTTTTGGACATCTTTGGGGGGGGGGGAAATGGCTACTGGGTACAACTTTCCTACAATCCATAGCTGTAATAGAAAAAAATAATGAAACAAAGTTGTTCATCTTAAAATCTAAAATAATATTGGTTATTACAGGGGGGTTTTCAAAAGTGCAGACTTGTTTTTCAGTTTGGGGTATTTAAAGCTATGAAAGTTGGCTATACAGTGGTACCTTGGGTTAAGAACTTAATTCGTTCCAGAGGTTCGTTCTTAACCTGAAACTGTTCTTAACCTGAAGCACCACTTTAGCTAATGGGGTCTCCCGCTGCTGCCGCGCTGAAAGAGCACGATTTCTGTTCTCATCCTGAAGCAAAGTTCTTAACCCGAGGTACTATTTCTGGGTTAGCAGGGTATGTAACCTGAAGCATATGTAACCTGAAGCGTCTGTAACCCGAGGTACCACTGTATCGTGAAATCAATCTTTAAAAAAACCCACAACCGGCACTACCACAGGATACTAAGTACTAGAATCAGAAGTCCAGTGGTACCCTTGTACCTCATCTTGGGTGATGAATGAAAAGTTTTCACTGAAATCTAGTAGAATAACGGCAGTGTGTGAAGGAAGGTTTTCTTTTAAATTTTTAAGGAAGGAAGACTGTGACTTTGCTATGAAAGAAAGAGGAATCAAACATTCTATTTTATCTGTTAGATCATCAATGAACTCATCTAGTGTTGCAGTGGTTTTGATCAAGGCACAGCTTCCTTATAAGGACTCCCAGGGCTAGGGCTAGGGGGGGCGGGTTAAGGCAGATGGAAGAAGGCCGTGTCTCTCCCCTCACCTCATAATAGCATACACATCTAGCATATACGAAAGACTTCTCTGAACTGCAGTCTCAGAAAACATTTTAAAATGTCTCATATTTTGTATTTCTGAAATGAAAAATTATTTTTTAAATAATTTAAGCCTAATTTGATGTACTCATAATTGAATATAATGCATAATTTTACATTCTTTTAATTTTTTTCTTGCTAGGTCTTATTTCCTTACATGTCAGCATTTAAAGTTTCTGACTGATTTTTTTTTTAAGATTGATTTCACGATATAGCCAATTTTCATAGTTTTAAATACCCCCAAACTGAAAAACAAGTGGATGTATGATTTTTGTGGTTCATGCTGTGGCCAAAGACATGTGATTTGATGGTGAGTTTGGGGTGACCCAATGCAAAAATCCTGAGAATCCATGTGGATCCGTGCTTTGTAACCACGTTTTTGCGCCATTGCGGCCCCAGGCAACAATGGGTGCGTGATTTTTTTGGTGCAGGCTGTAGCCATGTACATGATATGTGATCTGATGGTCAACTTGGGGTGACCCAATGCAAAAATCCTGAAGATCCATGTGGATCCGTGCTTTGTAACCACGTTTTTGCACTACTGCGGCCCCAGGCAACAGTGGGTGCGTGATTTTTTTGGTGCAGGCTGTAGCCATGGACATGATATGTGATCTGATGGTGAATTTGGGGTGACCCAATGCAAAAATCCTGAGGATCCATGTGGATCCGTGCTTTGTAACCACGTTTTAAGTGGGGAGGGAAGGAAAAACACTGAAGGGACAAGGAGCACGCGTGGGGTGTGTGGAGAAGGAGCTTTTCAGTGAGCTGAGTGGGGAGGAGGGAGGGAAAGAGAGCACGGTTGCTTTAAAGGAGCCAACCAGACAGGAGCTGCTTACACCCCTGTAAGCAGCTCCTCTCCTCTCCTTTCCCATTTTGCTCCTTTAAAGTGAGATGGCTCTCCTCCTCCCCAGCTCAGCTCGCTGAAAAGCTTTGCAGCACCTGTGTAAGCGGCTCCTCTCCCGTGTAAGCGGTTCCTCTCTCGCTTTGCTGCTTCAAAGCGAGCCATGGAGGAGGGAAGGAAGGGGAACCATGGATCCTCTGCTTGTGGCTGCAGCAGGATCCCCCCGCCATCCATAGGCATTCACTCCGTAAGATGCACAGACATTTCCCCTTACTTTTTAGGAGGAAAAAAGTGTGTCTTATGAAGCGAAAAATACGGTAATCTCAGAGCCTCTGTCTATAATTTTTGGAAATTGTTGAAGAACAGGTGAGGTCCCTGTGGACTGCAGCTGGGCAAATGTCACTATATTCAAAAAGGGAGGGAGGAGAGGACCCAGGCAATTGCTAACAAGTCAGCTTGAGTTGTTTTAAACAGCATGTGAGCACTTAGAAAATGATGCTGTGATTACTGAGATCCAGCATGGATTTCTCAAAAACAAGTCATGCCAGACAAATCTCATTTCTTTCATTTTTCTTCTTTTTGGTAGAGTTACATGACTGGTGGATCAAGGGATTGCTGTGGATGTAGTGTGTCTTCATTTCAGTATGGCTTTTGACAAATTCCCCCCTTGATATTCTCATAGAGAAGCTGGTTATATGTGGACTAAGTGATGTTACTGTTAGATGGATTTGTAGCTGAACCCAAAGTGTGCTCAACAATGGTTTCTTGCCATCCTGGAAAAAGTGACAAGTGGGGTACCACAGGGTTCTGTTCTGGGCTTGGTGTTGCTCAACATCTTTATAAATGATTTGAATGAAGGAATAGAAGGGATGCTTACCAAATTTGCAGGTGACTGGAAGGGGTAGCTAATACATCAGAAAATAAAATGAGGATTCAATGTGACCTTCACATTCTTTGTAAATGGGCATTCTGTTTCGCTCATTGCTGTACTTCGTTACTATGGCATCAATTTGCTGGAGAATTGGCCCAAAACTAACAAAATGAATTTCATTAGGGACAAATGTTCAGGTTCTGCACTTAGGCAGGAATAATCAGATGCACAAATATAGGATGGGGGATACCTCGTTTGACGGTAGTGCATGTGAAAAAGATCTTCATAGACCACATGAGTCAACAGCGTGATGCAACACCAAAGAAAGCTAATGCTATTCTAGGATGCATCAACAGAAGTATAGCGTCCAGTTCAAGGGAACTAATAGTACCACTCTATTCTGCTTTGGTCAGACTCCACCTAGATTATTGTGTCCAGTTCTGGGTACCACAGTTTAAGAAGGGTGTTGACAAGCTGGAATGTGCGCACTGGCAGGTGTCCAAGATGATAAAATGCCTTATGAGGAATAGTTGATGGAGTTGGATATGTTTAGCCTGGAGAAGAGAAGACCGAGAGGTACTATGACAGCAATCTTCAAATATCTGAAAGGCTGTCACATGGAAGATGGAGCAAGTTTGTTTTGTGTTCCTCCAGAGGTTGGATCTGAACCAACAGATACTAGTTACAAGGAAGGAGATTCCGACTAAGCATCAGGAAGATGCTTTCTGTCAGTAGAAACTATTAGATGCTGGAATGGACTACCTCAAGAGATTGTCGTCTCTCCTTTATTTATTTATTTTTTTTTAAAAAAAGGTTGGGTGGCCATTTGTCAGGGATTCATTAGCATTGCAAGGGGTTGGACTAGAAGATCCTTGAGATCCCTTCCAACTCTACCGTTCTGCTCTTTCTCTGTTTCCTGCTCCATGTATTCCTTTGAACCTCCTGCCTGTCTGGTGAAATTTTCTGGCAGCTTGAAATGCTGGTCTCTGTTTTGTGACACAGCAGTTGGTCCTCAGGTATTGTCTGCTATGGATTTGTGGTAAAAAAACAAAAAAATCTTAATTGTGATTTTGAGCAGCTTTGTGCAAGCTTATTTACCCTTCACTGAGTCTTTAGGGGGTGGGTGCTGTTATGAAGGGGGATAAACTTCAGCGAGAGAGATCTAACAAATGATTCGGTTAATAGTTTAAAAGGCTGGGTTTTTTACACTTTCTGGAGTATGACAAGTTTCTTTGTAAACAGGCATTCTGTTTCGCTCATTGCTGTACTGAGTTACTATGGCATCAATTTGCTGAGCAATACCTTTCTGATAAACTAAAGAGGTGTCTCTG